TCGCCTGAAGAAGACTAGCAGTAAGCAGTCAAAACGTCGCGATCTACATCTCAAGTGACTACATCGTGAGACAAACGATAATACACTTTATTATTACCTTTTTTAGTGTATTTATTATTCCCTTCGAATCCAATGCTTCGATAAAACCAAAAGAAAATATATTTAAAACACAATAAAGAAAACAATATCCACAACATTGTTTGTGCATTAATGTTTCAACAGCTTTTGGCAAATAAACATCACAGGTTGCATAATTCAAAATTTGGCCGAGAGGAAGTTTGGGTCTGGTCACTGACAAAACAAAAACAAAACCCTGTGCAGAACATGAACCGCGCTCGGCCCATGGCCGTGCAGTTAATTATATCTAAATTACAAACGTAGAGTAGATCAAGCATTTATAAATATATGAGGAAAGTGAAAAAAATGATTGAGATTCAACTCTATAGCTACCAAAGGAGACTGTCATGCTAAAAGAAGAATGCGCTTGTCAGTCAACCGAAATGCAAACTAATAGGTCGAGAACTCCCAGGTTATTAGCATACGTAATGTGGACATTTTATTCAAAATAACAGTGAAGTAGAAATGTATTCATTTATCTGAACTATACTGAACCTCTTTTCAAGATCTTGAAGAATTTGGCATGATTTACTGGTACGTAATATGCAAATTTGCATAGTTTGCGATGTTTGTGTCCGTACACAGTAATTGACTATACACGTACTACAGTCGGTCGACAATACGAAGCAAAAAGTTAGATCACCTTTAGATATTGTTTGCTGACATCTCTGCTTATCTCTTATGTTAAAAATATTTTCAATCATTGATCTGGAGAAGTAGGTAGGAGTGGACTTTGACTGCATCGCATTTTAGCTTGTATTTAGGTGGAAATTAATGTTTGAATCAAAAAATGTTTTGGCACTCCGAAATCTGCACATTCCTTAAAGTCAAATTACCAACTCTTCGTGTTCATTGACACCTTTATAACTCTTTAAGATCTGTAAGTTAACTCTTTAGCCGTTATTTGTACTTTTATAACCCAAATGGACCAGCAAATTGTTGATCCTGGCCTAAATTACAACACAGTGATCTTGACTACCGGCCCGCACATCGAAATGGAAAAAAATATATACATCACAGCTGTCCAAATTGTAGCTGGACTCCTAATTGTAATGCTAGATGATACAGTTCTTTCACTTGGAACTCTTGTCCAGTTTTGATAAAATAGGAATAACAAATAACCCAAAAATGTTTTGACAGCACTCAAAGCTCAGTCAAGTCTCTCAAGTGTTTTAGCCCAGTTCCTTAAGTAACATCACTAGTAGCCCGACCCAAATCCCACTTTGTGCAGTTGTGAACATAGAAATTACATTTTCAAATGCCTGTAGAAATGCAGGGATTTTATCAATCGAGATAATTTTTTCGCTGAAGTAATCAGGGAAACTAGTAGATTTTGTTAAAGAAAAAAATTGTTGAGGGGTTAGTGCCACTTTAACCTTTGTAGAACAACAATATTCCCTCTGGTATGTGACCTTGGTGACACCTTGTTTCTATGTTACATGATCCTGTAAAAAAGAGATGTCCGTGACAGTATATAAATAGCTTGAGCCTTAAGGTTGAATTAATGGTCTCATAAAAACAATGAGCAAGTAATGTTATTGTTTCAAAGGAATTCCAAATAGATTTCCTTCAAAGTATTTTACTGCAAATTAAATAGCTAGTATCATGCTTTAGCTAAATATCACTTACACGGAATCATGCTTTGGCTGAAATTATATCTCATAGACTAAATCATCATTTGTATGTGCATTCACTGTGCATTTACATGCATCAAGGTAAACAACTGGCCTCAAACCAAGTTTATCTATAGTATTTTGTTTTTCAGGTAATTGATTCTAAAAAGAAGAACTTCCATCATGAGGGTGACTCTGGGTTTTTGAGGCAGCAGGGTGCAATCAATAATGTGAATTATGGAAGTACAAGAAAAACATTGGGAACCAGGTTTGCTTAGCTTTTTGCTCGTAATGACTCTATACAGCCTCTCGAGGGAAATACTAGGCTCCTAATAACTGCAAGGGCTACAGGGTGATAAACATCTAAATACAGGCATTAGTGTGAGATTAAGTTATTGCTATCAACAGGTGTCCGCTATGACATGTAGAAATTGACATTTCAACTAGTTTTCCCTCAAGAAGGCCTAGTGGTTGCCAAGGTTGACCCTGGATTGACCAATCAATTCAAGTAGTCGTGTTGCTTTTTTTTTTTCTTTGACAATATATACTCTTTAGGCTCACAGAACAAGTATAAATCCATACTGTAAGGTTAAGGTTTTTGTTTGTTTAAATATAATGTAACTTACTGTTTTCTGTGCAAAGGTTTGTAACAGCATAGTTTCATTTTTTCTTGTGTGGTGTGAATGGGACCAGAACAGTACAGTGTACTTTCCTGTTTGGGATAATATTATATGAAAGGTATTGGCACTTGAGTTATTCTAGAGACCCGAGAAGCAAACAATTAGCATAAAAGAAGGGAGTTGAGTGGTGCATTCATCGCTTGCATGGCTAACTGATACTGTAGATTTCTCCTTTTTTGCTAGATTATGTGCTGTGTGTACATTGAATAAAATTTGTACACATTAAAATTTGTATACATTAACATGACATGCTGTTTATTTGTAGACGAGGTCCAAGTCATCAGTTTATTCCTCCAGTTTTGAATCGTGGTGTTGATGCTGATGGCTTGCAAAGGTTAGTTACTTCACAGGACATAAATGTGACAATTCTCTGATGCAACAATTCAATGTAATACTCATCAAGTAAGAAGAAAATAATGCTCACTCTCATATTTCTCTGTGTTAAGTTATTTTTAATAAAAGAGGCTTTGGATAAACAATTAAGAGTAAAAATTAACGATAATAATGTTGAATGGTGTTTCAATAATTCTTTCATCATTTTTTAATACTGAAAATTAAAAGTCAAATTCTTGTGAGTTCTTTGCATGTGCAATGCAAAAATCTTGTTGCATGTAATTAAAAACACTACAGTGTCAGGGCTCGACACTAACTTTTCAACTTACTAGCCTAGTGGCTAATGACAACTTACATGTTACTAGCCAAAAGTAATTTTTACGAGCCAAGCGTTGATGTTGGCTAGGTCCAATAATAGTGGGATTACTATTACTAGGTCTTTTTGACCTCCCTTTGTCATATTATGTATTGCAAGTTGGCTTAAAGTGCCTTTGATTTTCTTTGTAAGATTTTAAAAATTGCGCATACTGAATCGTGTGTTCAGTTTATAACTCAATTCTGCGTGCATGCATGAGAGGCAAGTCGTGTTTCTCAGCTACTGATCAGTTACAGTGTGCGCAATGTATAATGCCTTTGAAACAATTCTTGTGTCCTCCCCCTCCCTGACACATATTCTCAAGTCTCTAAAGTTTATCTAATATCATTTCTTGTAAACCTACTGTAGCTCTTTGACTCAGTCTAAGACTGCCAGAAAGTTTCAATAAACTACTTATTAGGTCGGTGTTAGAAATAAGTGCTTGCCTGCTCACCCATGCAAGTGTTGGAACTGCCAGGTGAGTGCAGATTGTCAGTCACTCACCCATTTGATGAGTATGATTTTCATATCCAAGCAGTCGTTTAAATTACACTCCTTTTTACTTTCAACTTTTTTGCCAAGAGATTCTCTGAATACAAACTTCAGTTTAACATAGTTTCCTTCCCTGACCGTGTTGACAGAGGTATGGTTTAATACTGGTGTACATGTATCCTTTGGGCAAGTGAAAACTAATCTAGGTGACAGCATTCTTAAAGTCATTTCCTGGAATGGGAAGTGCTTGCAAATTTTACCCTGCAAACCTGTATGCCATTTTCATTTCTGTTATTTTAGAAAGTTGGTACATAGTTTTTAAATAGTTTTTGAAATGGACCCTGTTTAACTGGCTCCCTTTGGGGCTAGGCTTATTTTGTTATAGTCTTATTTTATTATGATATATAAAGTTAAATATTCAAGAAAATTGTTGAAAACCACTTTGCTTGGACTTTGTCAGGGATGCTTCTAGCTCTGGCTTTCCAAATTATAGTGGGAAGATTCAAAGTGTGAAAGCTGTTAGCAATGACTCAGAAGTTGATGAGAGACTGAAAAACATTGAGCCAAAGATGGTAGAACTTATAACGAATGAGGTAAGGAAATAGCATGAATTAACCACACTTGATTTTGTATATAATGTAGTCATAATTTCCTAGACATTGTGGGGTGATCAGGATGCTTCCAAATGATAAGACTGTAATACAGTATATTACATGAACTAGTCAGTTGACAAATTCTGCACTTAGAATCAACCAGTCACAGTGCTTTCTATTTTCTAGCCCAACATTTTGTTAGCTTTGGGACGGCTAAATATTTTTACATCTTTTTATCCCTAACATTTGTTTCTTTTTTTTCTTTTTTCATGTTGCATTATTTTAATTAAGAGATGTTTCATTTCAATGTACATGTATTTATGGAAAAGTCAGTTACAGTACTGTGCAAAAGTAATGAGAGCGAATTTTGACGAATTTCGATGTATTTCGACGAACAGTGGCGAAAAAAGCGAATTTTTGAAGGAAACGAAACTTGAATGAATTGTCCGTGAATTTTCGATGCCGCTATTGTTTTAACATCTTCAAAATATCAGTGATGTTGGCGAAGGGCCGCTTGAAAAGTCGCTCGACTTTTCGTTGAACGTGTCAAAGTTTCATGCGAATTTTCGATGAGCAATTCGAATTTTCAAAAGGTCGTTCGCACAGCATATACGTAGGTCATTCGAATTTTCGAGCTTTTCACGTGAGGCTTTCAACTAACAAAATTCTTGTGACTGGCTCGTACGACAACTGATGGTCGCGTAAGCATGGCAACCTACGTTGCTTTTATTTGGTAAGATTTCGCATAGCAATCATTACTCAGTAAGCAATCATGGTGAAGGTATCCAACTATACACGAGAACAAATTCAAGCTCTTACTGAATGCGGTCTTCAACCTGTCGCAATTTTCNCGGTAACAATAAGTTACAGGTAAGTAAGTCTAATTGCAATCAAAATAAATCATGTTCACCTACATGTTTCGGTCTTTGAATAGTTTTCTCTCCTTGAAAAAAGGCTTTCCTTCTGTGAAGCGGTTTATAAAAAAACTCGTGCGTGCAGTGAAGCGAAAAGAGTATTATCACGGCCGACCAGACGGCAAGTAAGCTGAGGCGGTTTCGTGTGCAAAAATGTTCAGAGCAGCCCTTGGAAGGTTTTTCTTTCGATAAATTTCACATGTTCAAAGCGAATGACAGTATTCTCATTATTATTTTGAACACGACCGGGGATAAAACGGCTTAAATCCGCCTTAAATTTTGAAAAGAAATTTTCATGTTTGTGTTGACACGTACAGGTGTGCTTCGAAATTCACATTCGTCTGATCAAATTGAATTACAATCCTTGTCACATTAAATTGCATTCAACTACATGTTTTTGGCCATAAAAACTTTTTCTTCTGTTTTACAAGAAGGCTTCCTTCCAGGACAAGAAAGAGCACTAATGAGCACTGAAGCGAAAAATGTTTCTCACGCCCACGGGAAGTGATGTGGTGGTGTTTGTTTTTATACCTTGAAAGTTCGATGATCTTCCCTTTCCTTTGCGCATCAGTTCTTCGATATTTCCCTGGCTTGAAAGTTCGTTTCTTCAAACTTGCGCTGTGTCTTGCGAATTTTCGATCGAAATTTATTTGAATTTTCTTGTGGGCGGTACAAATGTTCATTCGAAAAGTCCGCGATGTTTTGAGGAAAATTCGCTAGAACAAAGGCCGACTTTCGTCGAAATTTGCTCTCATTACTTTTGCACAGTACTGTACAGTACTGTGCAAAAAGAATGCAGACGAATTTCCTCAAAATTCGGCTATTGTTCCCGCAAAATATCGTAGACATTTCGAGCGAAGAATCGTGATTTATTGGGCGATATTTCAAAGAAAATTCGTTGAGCGACACGAAAATTTGCTAATCTAAGAATGATATTTCGATGAGATTTCACCAGAAATGAGACGAAGATTTGCATAGCTAAACGAAAAATCATAATCCCGAAACGGTATTTCGTTGAATGTCGGTGAGCGTATGGTATTTATGAATGAATGGAATTGACAACTGTACACACAGCCCTTCGATGACCTTCAAAACAATTAAGCTTAAGCAATTAAGCCGAGTGTCAGCACAACCCGAATGAAACTATTCAGAAGAATTCACAAGATATTTCAAAAACCGGCAAGCTTAACGTTTATGTGATTGATAGTTTACCTATGAAGAGATACAACAGTGTGATGCCCTTACCATTTCGACTGACAATAACGTTTGATCTAAGTTTACATTCTCCTCTCTCGTGAAGTCCTTCGACTTTCCTTTGCCGTTCTTCATTCACAAACAACTCAACATGTTGAGTCTCCTGTCGAGGTGTGGTGTTAACCTCCACTGCCGTAAAATGAATGCCTAGCGTGTGCCAGTAATGTCAAGAAATGCACCCTCGAATTCCCTCATGGACTGACGCCATTTTGGAATTCATTCCATTGTTTGCCCTTCATATAAGGAAGGTAGGTCCCAGTCTTCAGTGAGTTGTGTGTGTTTGTAAGAGGTGAACGAGACGTATTGAGATGAAACAAAAACTTTACTTTTCCAGTTCAGACGTCTTTAACTGTACATTAGTGTCTACGAGCTATTTAATTTAAAAGGGAGTTTTACATGTATGTAGGTGATGAAAGGCAAGTTATTGGTTATAATCATTCAAAGTAGTTGCTTTGTGAGTCACTGCGCGTTTTGATTAAAACAATAGACCTTTCAAAAATTCGTCGAACTTCGTACGAAAAATCGTTTCACTCGAAATTTCTTTAAATTTCATCAAAAAGCACTGAAAAGTCCGAAAAGTAGCAAATTTCGTTTGCATTCTTTTTGCACAGTACTGTATCATTGGTTTTAGACTACATGTAGGTATCTACCACTGAAAAGTGAAGTCCACTTGATGTATTACTGTGTAAATGTACATTTCTATCAGATGAGAAAATTGTACCTTCTTTGTGTTGTAAAAGGAAATGTTGGAAAAATAGTGGGAAGTGACAAAAGAAGAAACTTAATTATACATGTACTATATTGTACTGTTGCAGAAAATGAGTTAGGGTTCCCAAAAACAAAATGTGAATAATGTCTTTCTGGGAAATGCTCTTTTTTAAAAATAAAATTCATGCTTGCATTTACAGTAGTTTTGGTTCTTAATATTTGGTCAATTACCTACATCCTCAGCTTACATGTAGTCTTTCTTGGCATTAAGTTGGAATGGTATTTTGGCAATTGTTGTCACTACAGTTACACACATAAATATATGTAAAAGTTTATTTCAAAAAGTAACCACTACCTGAGTGCAAAGTATTAAATTCAATACGGCGGGCGGAATTCTCCAGCAGTCAAAAAGAATCGTTCAAGCCTTCTGATTAATAACACAAAAATTCTCCTAATGAGAAAGTTGTTTGGCTGATAGAATACTCATCACTGAAACGTATGTGATTTGTCGGTGTCTTGCAGATCAGCTTCAGCAAATAATTGATCTGCTCTCCACTGACAAATCACAGTGTTTTGCTCAACCTCGTCCAGTAATTGTTATTTATTTTTCAGGTTGTTAGTGAGATTATCTCAGTGCTCATTATAAGAGATATATACTTTTGCAGATAATTTTATTATAACTGCAAGCAAAAGAGATACTCAAATTATCTCAATAAGGGAGTTAGTTAATACTAAGAAAGAAAGAAAATTAAAGAGCAACTTTTTAACATAGACAATTGACACACTTCTCTGGTTGGTTCAAATTTTCAAGAAAAAAAAAACACAAATTACTTGATTACAATCTATTGGAAATTCAGTGCATGGGGCACTATAAATCCAAATTAGTTGTGTTAGATTTCTGAGAGACAGGAAAAAAACTCCGCCATGTAACGCAATGCAGCAATTTAATTTCAACACAATTCAAGGGGGGCTTGTCATTTCACAAAGCACTGAGTAATAACTGTGGCAGCATTGAACACAACACGTAACAAGTTCAAAATTTTTCAGCTTCCTTACCTCCGTGAAAAATTATGTGCATTTTGCTTTTTTCAGATTATGGATCATGGTCCCCAATTATCATGGGATGATATTGCAGGGCTTGAATTTGCCAAGAATGTTATCAAAGAGATTGTTGTGTGGCCAATGTTAAGACCGTAAGTAAATAACTCATATTTTGTCTTGTCACTATTTTGAGGCTTAGGAGGCATGTCCCAAAAGGGAAAACTAATTCAACATGTGTTGAGATGACATCAAGAATGGACAGAATGTCATAAAAATGATCTGAAATTGAATATTAAACAGTTTGGAATGCAAAATGTGGATATCAGTTTGCCCCAAATATAGAGTGATATTTTAAGAAATGTTCATGTCGTGTAGAGGTAACGGGTAAATTTAGGAAAGTACCGGGAAGCCATGTCTGTTAATGATTATTAATAAGTATGGTTAGTTTTTAGTCTTTTCTAAATATTCATCATTTGCCAATTTTGCACCAGCTAAAGATCACAGTTGATAAATGTGTCAATTCCAAACACTTACCCAATAGGTAACTCTTTTTATCCATGGAGCTTATGATTCTGATAGTTGTTATCATGATTAACATGCTATTTATACGCCATGAAGGTCTCTTGGACATTCTTTATCTCTCCTAAATTGTCTTGTGCAGCAAAACCTTGATGAACATGCATCTTCCATCAGCCATTTCAGGTGGTGCTTACTGCGTCACTTGTGACACAAGGTGTTAGTATTGCTGTAACTGTATCTCATTTTGCGTTTTAACAAAAACATGTCTTTTCTTTCTCCCAAAAGTGACATTTTCAAGGGTTTGCGTGGTCCTCCAAAGGGGATCTTATTATTTGGGCCTCCAGGAACTGGAAAAACATTAATTGGTAAATATGAATTGTTCATATCTTCATATGTGATAGTACATTGGACAAAACTGGTCTGGATCTACGTCTTACTACAAAAGTTTAAAACAACTAGCTGATGCAAGTAATTATGTGATATTCCTAAACTTAATTAAATTCCACGCATGAAAAGTTACAGGTATTTTCATATATCAATGAAACAAGCAAGCCTTGCATTACAGTGCATCCAAATTTGGTAACTGAATCACAAACAGATGCAAAATCATTTGACTTTTGAGAGAAAATAGTCACATTTGACATGTTGTGCGCAGAACATTGTTATGTGTTTATGGATATTTTGTCAAAAGTTGACATGAAAGCGGGAGAAAGATGTTACAACTTATTTGAAATGTGATAATGTCTTCAGACATTCATCTTTAAGCTGTTGATCTTGCCACAATATCAGTCTTCCACCTGTTCTGAAGATTCCAGCCTATAGCTCACACTTCGCACAAGCCACAAAATGCTGCTGTGTTTAATAAAGCGTTGTCGTCCAAGAACGTCAGACACTGCTCTTTGCGTCTCTCAGAAAGTTGCTGGACTTGTCTCTGGGCTCATCCATCAGGCACTACCATTTTCTCACATTTTCTTGCATGACAGCTTGAAATTACTCCATTGGGTTTGCCTTGTGGCCCTTTGATGGTAGCATCACAACTTGAATCTTTGATTCTCTAAACCGCTGATGTATTACAAGATTATAGTGCTGTTTATTTGGATTATTGTACCTTTCTCTTGCTTATGGCAGTGTATCAGGTTCAAAATTCAAAGGTTTTAATTGTCCCTGAATCCTTAATTTCGTCTATACAGATTTACTAATACAAGTACTTACAATAAATTGGTCAAAAGTTTGGATTCATTTAACTCTTGAATTCATCAAGTTACTCAATTCATTTTATTTACTACAAATATTGCTGTGAAAATAAGTTTCTAAAGGTGTCTACGAAACGAAGACCTAAGACCTAAGACCCAAAAATGAAGACTTGTTTTTGTACAGGCCTATCAAACCAGAGACAGTCAAACCGGGTCAACGTTTTTCTTCAGACACCAACTGACGCAAAATCAATGGGTCTTCGTTTTGTAGATAAGGCCAGCTCAAACTACAAAAGGAAGACCCTTGTTTAAATGCTTTGTTTGTCGTCAGCTGACGCGAAATCAATGGGGTCTTCGTTTTGTAGATAAGGCCAGCTCGAACTACAAAACGAACACCCTTGCTTAGATGCTTTCAAATGCTTTGTTCAAGTGTTATGCAATATCGCGGACCTTCGAGTGTCGAGGCAGCTTATTGTGGACTGTGGTGGATCAGTTGTTTATTTATGTCCTCCGTTTCATTGTTTCGGAAGTGAAAATGCCCTGAAGCAGTTTGCCCAAACAAATACTGTCTACTTTATTAACTGCGTGGCCATGAGCAAGGCACAGTTCATGGTTTACCCGTGGTTTATTTATTTATTTTTTTTTAGTTTCGTCGGTGACCAGACTCAAACTTCCACTCGGCCAAATTTGGAATGACGCAACCTGTGATGTTTACTCACCAAAAGCTGTTGAAACATTAATACAAGGACAATGTTACGGATATTGTTTTCTTCACTTTGGGTAAAATATATTTTCTTTTGGTTTTATCGAAGCGTTGGATTCGAAGGGAAATAATAAATACGCTAAAAAAAGGTATTACATCAGCCATGGAATGCGCTGTCGTTGCAGCTTTCACTTTCTCTATGTGGCAAATAAAATCGTGTTTACTTTGCAAGTTTATTTCGGCAGAAGCAACAGTCATTAATTTATTTGCAATTTTTCAAGAATTTCTTGTGGTTTTAGGCGAATGAGGTAAATTCTTTGGCTGTGTCATCGCAGCGAGTTCGGTGATCAGAAGGAAAATTAAATATTTGCAAGCCAAGCAAAGAACATGTCAGAACTTGAACTCTTAAAATTGACACTGTGATATATCTGTCCGTAAAACCCTGATTGGCCGTTTTTATACTACAAGACACATCCGTCCAGAAGGATAATGCGTCCTCGCCATTTTTATACTAAAGACACATTATCCGTCTGGACGAACTTGGGCAAACATTTGTAGTTCGTCTGGTTATACATCTCTAGTATAATGACGGGCACAAGACGTATTATGCGTCTAGATGAACTATACTTCGAAATTCATCTTGAACGACGAACTAGGAGAGACAGTTCATCCAGATGTGCCCATCTTTATACTAGAGATGCATAACCAGACAAACTGCAATTGTTTGCCCAAGTTCGTCCAGACGGATAATGCATCTTTAGTATAACTAGTGAGACAATCTCAGATAGTGCAGAGTGTGATTTACGGCTCTGATGTAGTAGTCACACAGGTCCTCACCCCTGCTGTTCTCTCCTGTGGTAGTCAACTAGGCCTTTTCACTTTTGCAGAATATGAGTGGACGAAAACTTGATAAGACATAATCTTAGCCGTGTGTATGTTTCATGTTTGTGTTTTGCCCCCCAAAAAAACTTACAATTGCCATTTGTCAAGATGGTTTTAAATTTATTGTGGTATTTTATCTTGAGTGTCGTTCATTTTGTAGCATTACTTTTCACACCAACGTTTGTAATTTGATACTTTTGTTTTCCTCGCCATCATATGCAACAAGATACCTTTGTTTCCACGAAAATATAACAAAGATGTGTATTTTTTAACTTACTGCTGGAGATAAATGGAATATAAAAGTTAAATATCTACTGAAAAGTTGAAGAGGAACGATTTTGTTTTATTCAAAACATAAATTTTCATTTCACCGATAAACAAGAATTAATCTAATTATCAAATAGTCATGTCGATTCATGGAATAGTGTGTTCCAATTCTGTTGCCATCTGAGTTGGTGTAAACAATAAAACCACATCAAGCTAACACACAATGCTATTGAGTAATACAACTGAGGAGCGTTTCAACGAGAAGTATTGAAGGTAGAGATCTTTACTTGACCGAAATTATATCCCACATTGTTGAGTGAGTCACCTCATCGACTGATTTAAAGATTATATTTCTAGCAGACTACATAACAAAGTAATTGATCCTGATGGGGGAATTCACTCCAATAAAAAGCAGTTCGAGAATAATGGCAATGATCGTGGTAACAAGTACAACAAGTAGTTGAGTGGCCCAAGGAAGGCTGAACCTTAAGCCTAGACAAAACTTCTATGTTTCAACATTGTTTTATCTTTTCTTACCTATCTGGAGGGAGAAACAGCGAAGAGAAAAGACGAGGCGCATTTAAAAGTAAACGAGAGGGATACGCTTTGTTTAAGGCTTCGCATGTCTTTGATGTAAAATTTAATAGCTCTCATGATGATTTCTGCTTTTTTGATGCAAGAGTTAAGGCTTCTATGACCAGGATTAAGATCTATAGAACAAAAGTTTGACAGAATAAGACGGGCGAAGTGATATCTGCTCAATGCACGTGTAAAGCTGGTGTTGTGAAACTTATTAGCCCACATGGGGTTTTTGTTTATGTATTGTTTGTACAGAGTTCCAGTGACATTTATGATTGACAGTTGATCACAGTGCTTTTAAGATTATATCGCATGTGTTTTTATGATTGAGTTAGTTGTGAATACGAGTCATCGACTAAACAAGTTTCGATAGTCTAATGGATTGCGAGATTTCTTATTCAATGCAATGGTGCCCAACGTGGGGCAGTGACCTTGACACTAATGAGGAATGGCCGAAAAACTAGTGCGCACCCGCGCCAAACGTGGTGGAAATTGAAGTGTAATGACAAAACTTATAAACGAAGCAGATGATATTCTACAAGCTGATGAAATGGACTGTTCGTTCGTCCATCAGCAGACGCTGGAGTTTATGCACCGCATTCACCGGGGAGTTCAGGTACGACTTTTCAAATACCAAGTAACAGTAACATTAGCACAGTCACTTATCCGAATTTGGCTAATCCCATGACCACTCAACCGAGAGCAAAATTACCGAAACTAATTTTGCTGAAATTCAGAGGACATGTTACGCAATGGCAAGGTTTCTGGGACAGTTACAACAGCTCCATACACACCAATCCACAACTGAGTCAGATTGATAAGTTTAATCACCTGCATTCACTCTTGGAGGGGCAAGCAGCATGTTCAATACAAGGTCTAACTAGATCTGAAGCCAACTACAACTCTGCGATCAATCTATTACATACAGTACTGTGCAAAAGTAATGAGAGCGAAATGGGCGAATTTCGTTCTTTGTCTCTGGAAAGTTCATCCAAAAATTCAAGCGTCTTTTCGAATGTCTTGAGCATTATTTCTTTAAAACAAAGGACAAAAATTTGCGGCATTTTCAAGACCAGAACGACAATTCTTTACCAGAGGGTTCATTCCCCTTGCAGTATGCGAAATATCGCAGTGCAGTGTGCTGACCAGTATCGAGCCATCAATGTACGATTCTCTTGTGAACAATTGCGGTCACGTTGACGCTTTACTCCTCTATAAAATTTGCTGTTGTTAATGTGTTAATCCATCTTTCATGGCAAAGAATGTAGAGAATTTCAATCCTTTGATCGTTTTCAATGACACGAACTCGCTAACTTAAGCTTTGCCATGTCACTGTGCCAGCAAGGCAGGTACAAAAGTTGGACCGCTACTCCGGGTAAACTTGGATGAAAGTAAAATTCTTAATAAGGGCTTACTTAAGGCCTACTTCACCTCAAAATTCATCCAAAGTGACATCAAATTCAGTGATCGATGGACAAGCAGACTTGTTGTTTATCTAGTGCCAGGTCTCCACGTGCCCAGTCCCCTCAGCTGTTATCACGTTCGCCGAGTTCTTGTCTGCCTGCCATGATGGATAGTATATTATTCACAACAATCCCTCTTTATTTCACACTTGTAAATAAGAGATGGAGATGTGCGACCGCGCTTGAGCATGTTGGAAGTGCAAAGAAACAGGATTAGGGAAGGAAAAGTGCAGAGATGTTCGGATGGCACATGCAAAAGGGAAAGACACGGTATCCGGTCGTTTCGCAAATGAGTTGTTTTGCCAACGTCTCAGTCGCCAACACCTTAGGTTGATTCGCCAACGTCCTAAGTCGCTTCACCAACGTCCTACTGTTCAATTCACCAACGTCTAAATAAAAGTTTACCTTCACTTGTGTGTGTTTTCATTCATTTCAATACCACACCTAGAATTATTTTCCATGCAAGAGCACCTCATTGTTTACAACGACAGTTCTCTGCAACACTAGCCCTCCCGCTAAGATTTTTTTTTGTATGAACACTAACGGGGGGAGGAAGTGTAACTGATTTATAACAATCAATACAGCATGAATGTTACTAAGACTACGAGTTAAAAAGTCTTCAGCCGAGTTAAACAGATCTGTAAAAGACTGACCTGAATAGTTTGATAATAGCTTTGAACCTTCGACGGTAATATCGCAAGGTTGCGCAGAGCCTGGGTTCATTGTGGCTGCACCGCGAGTACTTCCGCAAGTAGCATTTCTTGTTCAATGAAAACAGCTTGGCAAACAGACCATTTGAGCTTGCGAGCTTTAAGACTGCAACAAACAAAGTGATATCAGCTTTCTCTGGACATAAGCAAGGTAAGTTTGTGAGAAAAGGCTTTGAGATATTACTATCACTCATGATGATACTAACGTTTTTATCGCGCACGTTCTTGTTTTGCTCTGGCTTAATTCATCTTACTACTGGGAATCGATGGGAAACTTAAGGAACAGAGCGAATTTTGCTACAAAGTTTGAAGGAAAATTCGAGGAGAGCAAATTTTCGCTCGAAAAATCGGGCCAAATTGTCAGTAGACACGCTGCTCAAAAATTTGCATGGACTAAAACAATGGGCAGCGGGAAAATTCGTGAACAAAACTTCGCCATTGTTCGTCGAAAAGCCCCAAAATTCGCGAATTTCGTCGAATTACGCTCTCATTACTTCTGCACAATACTGTAGGCGGTTTGGCAAGCCCCAGAACATCATCTCTAAACACATGGACGAGATGCTTAAGATTCCAGGGTGTGTCAACGACAACGCCTCCAAGCTTCCACTTGGTTACGATAGGACAAGCATCAACATATGTGGTTTAGAGTCATTGGGTGTTAGTTCTNTAGTAGTAGTAGTAGTAGTGGTAGTATTAATATTATTGTTATTATAAGCAAAGGGTTTTCAAAACAATTTGAAGTAAAAAAAAACTAATGGTAACAGCACACAACATTTCGACCAAACTTTGGTCATTATTAAGCTTAAAAGTGAAGATGACTGTTCAGCCCACGTTTGTTAGTCACAAGATCAAACAACATCTGAAACCGCACGAAGTCAAGCCATCTATTGGTAGCCATCAATCCCTTGTTTATCAATTTAAATGTGACCTGTGTGATGCAGGTTATGTTGGTTACACGTGGCGGCATTTGCATCAATGGTAGACGAGCACAAGAATACATCTTCCTCCATTGGAAAATTTTTTCATGTGAAACATTCTTGTGTGCCCAAGGATCCTACCAAGAATTTTACCATCTTAAAAAAGTGCAAGAACAAGTTTGACTGTCTCATTTATGAAATGTTTTTTATCAATGAACTGAGACCAAGTCTCAATGTTAGTTAGTTAGTTAGTTAGTTAGTATGTTAGTTAGTTAGTTAGTTAGCTAGTAAGTCAGTCAGTTAGTAAGTTGTTATTATAAGGTTTTGTTATTCTTAGTCTTTATTCTGATTTTTACAGCTTAGTTATTTTATTAGTTAGTTTATTTTACTCATGTTATATATTTCTACGTTTTTTTATTAATTTTCATTGGTGAGATATTTTTAAACTCATTGTAGAGTGCTATTGGATAGTGATATAGAAATAGCGCTGTATAACTAAAGTATTATTATTATGATTATTATTATTATTAATGTACAGTCAGACTCAATTCGTACGAAAGTTTTAGTCATTTTTAATTATGTTATTCCTGCATGCATTTTATTGTTCTTAACACCTTTTTTACATTTTCATACTTTTGCTTCTTCGTTTTATATTTATACTTATGCAAAATTTTTATCATCACTTTTAAGCTTAATAATGACCGATGTTCGGTCAAAACGTTGCATGCTTTTACCATTAGTTTTTACTTCAAATTATTATCATTATTATTATTTTGTTATTATTATTATTATTATTTATTATTATTATTATTATTATTATTATTAAGGAGGCCTCCAATCACCTTGAGGTGGTTTTCAGGAGGGTCATCTAAAAATAAAAGTTTAAAGTAATTATACCTTAAATGTCAAGTATTTTGTGGTGAATATTGACAGGAACAACATCAAATTAGTCTTGTTGAAAGTAAAGCTTTCAGTGAAATATACGTGACGTTACATGGAGATGTAATATCACAATGAATATAAAAGATGTATAATGTAGATAAAGTTGCAGTTACAGAGTTGCATTTACTTTAAGAAAGATCGACATCGTGGTTGAGCAATATCAACATGAAATTAAAGATTGCTATTCCTTTTTGCTGGAATTGCTGGTTTACTCTCTTCACAGAAATTGTATTTCTCTGATATAGGGAAGTGTATAGCCAGCCAGTCAAAGGCCACTTTCTTCAGTATAAGTGCATCATCTCTTACGTCAAAATGGGTAAGTTATTACATGAGTAAGGCAAATAGAAAGAGGTGTCAGTGATAACACATGGAGCTTATTGACCAAGCTTGTTTGGTCAAGATGGCTGGATATTGGCTAAGTTCTTAGTCCATAAACACGCAAAAAAATGAAGAAGGCCAATATCCAGCCGTCTTGACCAAACAAGCTTGGTCAATAAAGGATTTATTATATGAGAAAAGAAGACTATTTTCTTGTGGGATACAGCGGGCAATCCTGAGCGGGCAAGATAGTGCAAGCTTGCCCACTTGGCTAGCCAATCTCATTGCCGGATTCAGCTCATCTTGCCTCCTCACAGAGCTAGCCATATAATAATGCATGTTTTTGCTGGGTGTATGTACTGACTTGTTAGAAACTGAGGTTTTTGCTGGAGTTTGCAATGTTAAAATCCTTTAAACACATTTCAAACAAACGATATCTACCTGCAATAATTGAAACTGGTAGCAAAAGAAAATGGCATTCCCATTGCAAAGTTCTTTCTTCACTTGGTAACAAAGACATATTCAACCAACAAGTCGGCAGTTTGGTTTTTGTGCCGTAAGTTTTGCGAAATGTGGGAAAATTGGGAGAAACGCCATCACAGGAGAAAAAGAAGCTATATTTCTCTTTCATCTGTCACCTTATTTTAACCGCTGAGGTATGTGATTGCCAAGCTTCCGCTTGCACACAGGATTTGAAGAATGGAGGGCGAGTACTCTTATGCTATGGTTTTTTATGCATAAACAAGATAAGAACGGTAAGATGAACAGCTTTTGAAGAAATTGTGCTAAGCAAGATAAAGCCTACCCAGACGTGGAATGAGCATTCAATATCAGTCCAGCAGATGTGATGTCACAGAGCCCTAAGGACCACAATGGTCATGGCAGTCACTGTTTCAAAAATAGCACAAATCAGTCTAATCGCAACAAGGAAGTTGGCAATATGCCTGGTGGCCACAGAGTACAGAGTTATCTTAAGATACTCTTTCCTCGAGTTTTGCACTTTCAGAGGCAACAAACACACTTCAAATTTATCAACCACCTCCTACATTTATATTTTCTCTCTCACATCAAGATCATTTTAAACTTGCTTTGTCTTCATAATTTAGCCACTGCAAAGCGCACTTGTTTGGCAAAAAGTTGCTAAAACTTTTATATAGGTATTCTCTGTCATTTTCCTAGCTAGTGACAATGTTTTAAGCAAAACTACAGAATGCCTGGCCTTTTAGCCATCCACCAGACTACAGTATGGTGGCGTTTGCTCCACTGTCGATCCAAAACACAGACAAAGACTTGATCACATCATTTATTCAATGTTCTAGACCTGAACGGCTTAGCCAAGGAACCATTAATTCCAAATTGCTTTTGTTTGTTGGTTTTGTAGGTTGGTGAAGGTGAAAAGATGGTGCGTGCATTGTTTGCTGTTGCAAGATGCCACCTGCCTGCTGTGGTTTTTATTGATGAGATCGACTCACTTCTGTCTCAAAGAACTGATGGCGAACATGATGCCTCACGGAGAATCAAAACTGAATTTCTGGTGCAACTGGCAAGTCATGGTGTTCTGTCAGTTACAGATTGCAGACCTTGAGCTCTTTTAATTTCCTTTTTAGATGCAACTCACTATGCTGAGTTGCATACATTTTATCTTTTTAAAGCAGCAAGAATTATACCTGGCAGGGGAAGTTAATTTATAGACCTGTGCATCGGCATAGATACACGTTACTACTGGCGGCAACGGATATATAACGAGGCATTACCTTAAGAAATGATCAATGCATTTTAAATTAACAAATAGTAAATGGTGTAGGTCGCACCATTGCATTTTAGATGTATGTGGGAGGTTGCTCAGCATTAAAGGGGCCCAAGAGTCACTTGAGGTATTTATAGCCTATAAACTTCAGCAACCTGGAAAATGTCTATCCAGAACCAATGAAGCATTGCTTAAAGCTAAGGCACCTATGTGTGTCGTCCATAGTGTGCAGGCACTTGAACTTTTCCAAAACTTTCCACTAAAACTTCTATGGGCAGTAGTTATAGAGTGGGGGTTCTGCACCAGGGGGCATGCATAGGGGCATAGAGGGTGTTGAGGGGCATTTGTGATGCCATAATCCCCTGGGGAATGATGTCATTCCTACTTGCAGAAGATGACATCGGGGTGGAGGGGCGTTTACGAAGGGGTGTTAGGGCATTGATGACATCATGTTTCTCTGTGGGGTGAGGTAATATCCCCTTTTCGGAAGATGAAATCATCGGGGTGTAAGGCTAAAATTAAATTAATGGCATGGAGTAGTTTTAGGGGATGACATCATGAAATGTAACCCCTGTCCAATTTGGCCCATAATTGAGTAGAATAGAAAGAAACACATTTTAGCAGGGTAAATTCGTAACAGAGATAAAAATGAAAGTGAAGAATGATCATCACAGTTAATTTTCCAATTTAAGCAATGGGAAAGAAGAAGCCTGAAAAAATCAGGGCTACAACGGGATTCGAACCCGTGACCTCCACAATACCGGTGCAATGCTCTACCAACTGAGCTATGAAGCCACACATTGGAAGGAAGGTCAATTAATTGAGTTCATATCTTCCCATGAGGAAGATATGAACTGAAGATATGAAATATGAAATATGCTTAAGATATGAAATATGCTTAAATTGGAAAATTAACTGCAATGATCATTCTTCACTTTCATCTATACCGCAGTTCATATATGAATTATTTCATATAAACTTCACATCATTTCACTCTTCACGAGAAGATATGAACTCAATTAATTGACCTCGCTCCCAATGTGTGGCTTCATAGCTCAGTTGGTAGAGCATCGCACCGGTATCGCGGAGGTCACGGGTT